CTCTCGCTTTACAAAGCTCAGATTCGCCCTACACTTGAATACTGCAGTCATGTGTGGGGTGGAGCTTCGTCTACCTCACTATCTCTTCTTGATCGGGTTCAACGCAAGGCCATCCGTCTCATCAATAACCCGTCTTTAACATCAAACTTGCAGTCACTAGCTCACCGTCGGGCAGTCGCTTCTTTATCCTTGTTCTATCGATATTACTTTGGTTTTTGCTCTGATGAACTTTCCGCATCTGTCCCTCTCCCACTTGTTCTTCCTCGCAGATCCCGCGCACAAGCGGCTAGTCACCCATTTCAAATGACTATCCCTAGGTGTCGCATTTCTAACTTTCAATCATCTTTTTTCCCAAGAACAGCAAAACTGTGGAACACTCTCCCCCTTTCGGTCTTCCCTCCAACATACAACATCCATATTTTTAAACGCAGAATCAACAAGCTGGCTCTAGCTTGAATGTTCCCCACACCTTCCCACTTACGGTATATCTTCGGATCATGGGGTTTACCCCTTTTACTGTATTCACTTTCGTGTAATAAAAAAAGCAGTTAGACCAGTCCGGTCGCCCGCCGCACCGTGCCTTATTTGTAGTAGCCACTTTAGACTGTAGAAAGCCTCGTGGAGCACAACATATCACGTAGAGACGAGGCATGAAGAAATCTGCAGAGCGATTAGGTAGAGTAGGTGTCTTGTCTTCCGCGTTAGGGTTCAAAAGACTCCGTAACTGGTTGGCTGGAGACAATTAAAGGTCATGACAGCCAACCGAGAGAAATGACCATTTTGCCGTCACTTATCAGTCCAGAATGCTTGAACTAGTGTGTATGCACAATTAGACTGTGTTGTTTGTGTTTTGAACGTAGATGTTTGCTTTCTTTCCCCGTGCTGAAAATCCACCCTATGGGGTGCATGAAGCCTAACTTGACTTGACTTGTCTCTCAAGATAGGTCCACCTGTCATCCTCTGTACACATTTTCACTTATCTTGTGTGCATTATAAGTATGGCTGCGATCAGTGATGTTGGTAATATTGTATTTCTCTGTACGATGGTGATGATGATAATTACTGCATGATTGATCACTTTTACGAAGTGCTAACGGAGGTAGAAATAAATAAATCAGTATCCGTGATGAGTGTATACCCAATCGAGTTATTGGTGATGAACTTACGGATAATATGACAAGAAACACATGTGTGTCCTGGCTGAATTCAGGGAATCTACTTCAAACCAAACCTCTTAAGAGGACTGACCGGGATAGCGTTCTGTAAGACGATTTTGTTCTTCGAGTATGGTCAAACTTATTGCACTTTTGTCTCTTGGCAGTACAAAATCTCTAAGTCAACGGATGACTTGCTGCCAGTCAATCGGAGCTATTTTACTCGACTTGCATTATTGTCTATCCTAGTTGTGTAATCAAATTCCTCTTCCATTTGTTTAGGCCGACTGAGACGTTAATCTCAAGGTAGAAACTCAGCACCTCATGATACGTGGTCGTAAAAGCAACGCAGGCGGCGAGAACACGTGGAAGCAACAGGTAAGTTCTGATAGTGGTTTTCACCAGTTCGGTCTCCCGTGCCTACCTCGTCCTCGAAGGCTGTTCATGTGCATAAAGCGATCACAGAAAAAGAAGTGCCACCAAAGAAGAAACATGTGCGAGCCATTATTTTGGCTACTTTCGACGAATACTCCTCCCAATTTTTCTATGAGATTGCATTGAAGTTGCCCGTATTTTCTAATCCGGTGGTTTGTTGGAAACTGTTGTATTTGATTCACAAACTTATTCGCGAAGGGCACCCGGAAGTAAGATAGTGTTTCTCACCATTCACGATGTATATGTGTTCGTGTTTTAGTGCATTCCAGATTGCTTGCGCCAGGCCTCAAAGATTGCTCTGGTCAAATCTGCTTGGGTAGGGAATGGTTCCTACTTATCCCATTCTCCACTAGGATTCCTGCGTGAATACTTACGGCTATCCGTTAGAAAACTACTTCAAGTTTATCACAGCCAGACTACGATTGCATCGTAAGGTAGGTAGTGTTTTCTTTTGGTATATCAAATACAGTATGGAATTATTCCGGGCAACCTGGAACTTCAACCGCGTGATTTGAGCTCCGCATTGAACGCTCCACCCGATAGCCTGTAAGTTAAACGTATTTTGACGCATTTTTCGTATTTCATTTCACTTTTGCACTTATTTTACTGTTTTTCCGCTCTCACGAGGATAGTGGAATAATCCAGGGATATATTTTGCGATGGTCTGGAAAATAATAATCAATGATACAGTCGCACTGTCCACATAGCGGTTCTTAAAATGTTTTAGTGTGGCAAGATGGCCAAATGAGAGTCAGGTACCCGTGGTAGATGTTCGTCGAACTCAAGTTTTTGACCGTCAAAGCGTGGTTGATATAGTGCCATAGAGCCGGGGTCAAGCCCGTTAGTAAGGTATGTTTTGTTTTTAATACCTGGAACTCTCATCCGCCTGAAGTTGTTTGTGCACCAATCATCTATTCATTCAAGTCATGACTGGATGAAGGATTGAAACCTAACTTCTTAGCACTCGTGAGTGAATGTCATAATTTGCTATTGAATTGTACTACCAACCGAACACTGTGTATACAGATCCTATGGGATTCAATAAGCATCAGCTTTGTAATTTACCCATAATAAAAATTTGTGTTTGAATTTGGATTGTCTCGGTAAAGCATCCTTTAACAGTTTCAGTTTCAGTTTCTACAACCATTAACCATGCACTTTCGTGCGCCGGTTTTGGTTGCTGTCTTTTGGCTGCCCATTTGGATGAACATGAAAGAGAAAGATAAGAAAGGTTGAAAGTACGATCAAAGAAAAAAATTGGGATTTCATTGCACTAATTTCGCAGAGAAACTGACAAGATGCACGAACTCCACTGTTTACGACACTCAGCCATATCACTCAGTGTCTCTGGCCATCGGTTACGATCATCCCAAGGTCCCCCTTCCAGCGAGCTGACACTTCATCGGTGATACGTCCACCGGGTGAGATGTAGCTGCCCAAGTAACAAAACTTATCCACTTGCTCTATTACTTTCCCAGTTAGGGTGAGTCTGGGTGCTGGACCAATCCAGTCTTGAAGTAATATTTTACACTTTGAAGGTGCAAAACGCATACCGAACATGGTTACACTAGTACTCAAACCATCCAGAAAAGCTTGTAACTTACCTGGATCTTCATTTAGTAGCACAATGTCGTTTGCATATTGTAGATCAGACAGTCTGCCACCTGGGATTAAATCGATGTCACTATTCTCGCACGAGGATAAGGCTGTTTTCATAATCAGATCTATAGCAAAGTTAAATAGGAAAGGAGAGAGACGGCAGCCCTGACGAACACCACTTTCTATAGTGAACTCGGGCAAAAATGCCATAAGCCCGAACTAGACTTCGGCTATTAGTATAATGGGATTGTAATATGGAAATAAACTTCTCAGG